CCCTCGCCCAGAGCAGTGCTGGCCAAGGGGGGGGGCAGGCCACGCTGGGAGTGCAACGCCGCCAGGCCGGCGGCGAAGGCTCCGGCAGATCGAGCTCGAGGCACAGATCTGCAGACGAGCGCGCGAACGCTCCAGCAGATCGAGCTCGAAGCACAGATCTGCAGACGAGCGCCCTCCACCGCTCGCAAATCAACCGCACCTCGCCAGTGGCCCGGCTCCGGCGCGGCCCTGCGCATCGAGGCGAAGCCTCTGCTCTCTCGTTCCGGACGATTGCGGGCAGGCGCTCCGCGAGCATGTGGAGCGCGCTCGGTGCATCTGGGCTGGGTCGGCTGCGTCCAGTCGCCGCCCGTCGCCCTGCCGGTGCCCGCCGGGCAGGCCCAGGCGGGTGCCCAAGACAGCCACGGCCCCCTCGGAGCTTTGACCTCACCGAGAGGCTCGTCGGGCGCGGCAGCCTGCGCCACGCCACGGGCCCCTGCTGAGCAGGCCGGAAGGCACACGGCACGGCCACCGCAGGCGTCCTCCGGACCGCATGCAGAGAGGGGCACGACACATCCGTTACGCTCCCCATCCAAAGAGCTCACCCGTTGCCCGCTTGCCCTTCGTCCGTCTCATCCTCCTGACCACCGTCCGTTCAGCAGCCTCACCCCTGCGCTGCTATATAGGTGCGATCCTGGCTCCTCTTCTCTCTCCCGCTCCCCTCCCATTTACCTCCACCTCCTCCTCCTCCTCCTCCTCCTCCTCCTCCTTCTCCTCCTCCTCCTCCTCCTCACCATATCCGCCTGCGCCCGTGCCTCCTCCGACTGCCTCCCCTTGCGGCGTGGCTCCTCCCCGTGCGGATCACCTCCTCCCGCTGGGGAACCGGAAGGTATCCACACCGCTGCTCCCCGGACATCTCCCAGGGCGCGCTCTGACCAGGATTCCGGGGCGAATCCAGCGGTGGCGGCGAGGGCCTCCGAGGAGGCCCCGACAGGGGCAGCACGAGGATCTGGGTAGAGGTGTGGATGCCTCTTCCTCCTCTGACTTCCGGCGTGGCTCCTCCCCGTGCGGATCCTCTCCTCTCCCCCCACGCCGAAGCCCGCGTGGGCCCTGACAGCCGCCCGACAGGAGACTGTTCCATCCGCGGCCCCAGAGGGTCTGCCCCCCGCTACCCCAATGCAGTTTGTCTCGGGGAGACGTAAGACCTGGGTACGGGTACGGGGGACTCGGAAATCCCCGACGAGGTCGTCAAAAAAATGACGAGGCCGAGCCTGCATTTTGACGAGGCCTCCGGCTGCAGACATCCCACAAAACTCCTCCTCGTCAAAATCCGAGTCGCGGTCGTCAAAAAACGATGGCGAACCCGAGTCCTGGCAAACCCGGGTCTTACGCTCCCCCGATTGTCGTCCTGGATCCATTTTCGGTGGCCCTGCAAGGGGCCGGCAGCGCCCCCTTTCCAGGCCGAAGAAGCAGAGGGAAACCGCCAGATTCACAGCACGCAGGGGCTCGACCACGGGGAACCGTGCACACGAAGCCCAACCCCGAGACCCCCGGACGTTCCTTGACTTCTGGTGTGGGCACGTCACGCCTTCCATCACAAGCCCATCGAGGTCCAAGCAACCCAGGGCACCCTGGAGGCCAGCAGGGTGCTTCCTGGCACGGCTCTCCACTCTACGAATCCTGTCGCCGGAGATCTGGCCCCTGCCGATGCTCAGAGGGGTGGAGAGAGCGCCTCCCCGGGCGATGCTGTTTTTTTTTCTTCCCCGACGACTCCGGCTTTTGCCGGAGCCGCCGAGACGATGGCCTATAGACCAGGGTGTGGTTTTCTGCTGCCAGAGCCTCCGGCGCTGCCGGAGATCCCGGGGACACCACCGTGTGCCTCTGCTGCCCCACTGTTCCGCAGCTCACTCAGTGTGGGCGTTGCGCAACCGTGTGGGGTGGGGGGGGCGATGAACGAGGGGGGCGAAGAAACGAACACCTTTCGGGCCTCTCTTGGGCCCCGGGGGGCCCCTTTCGGACTCTTGGGGAGGAGGAGGAGGAGGAGGAGGAGGAGGAGGAGGAGGAGGAGGAGGAGGAGGAGGAGGAGGGGGTGTACAGTCGGAGCTGGGACAGCAGAGCATCGTTCAAGAAGAGGAGGCCCTCCGCCTGCAAAAATGAAGAGCTTCCGAGGGTACCCTCTCCCAGGACTCCACAACAAAACATCTAACAAGCACGATTCACATTGGGGTAACCTCCCCGAACCGACCTCGATCCTATACCTCGGTCCGACCGTACAACATGTGCACCTTCCTCCACCCCGCATCCATCTAGAGACACTTATCGCCCCCCCACTGCTAGAGGCCTCCTACATGGGGGGTCGGAGTTGATGGGGTCGGAGGATCGCGCCGCATCGCCAATGCATCGACGATCCACCGCCGATGCATCGCCGATGCATCGGCGCGACATAGGCGATGCATCGGCGGCGTCGACGTGAAGCAGCTCGGGCCCCACAGCGAGCCGCATCGGCGATGCCTCGGCGACACGGCGCAGCCCTCCGACCCCCACCTGCTCCGACCCCACCTGGGATCGGGAGCGGCCCAGGGGGGGGCGTCCAAGAGGGAGGGGTGCAAATCATGGCCGGCGGCATGTGCGCGGCCCAGGGGGGGGGGGCAGGGACGTAATGAAATAAGAAGAGGCGCCATGCAATCTGGGAAATATCATGGCCCCCGCCAT